TTTTTTTTTTTGAGACAAAGTCTTCCTCTGTTACCCAGGCTGCAGTGCCGTGGTACAATCTCAACTCACTGCAACCTCTGCCTCCCAGGTTCAGGCAATTCTCACACCTCAGCCTTCTGAGTAGCTAGGACTACAGGCATGTACCACTACACACGGCTAAATTTTTTTGTATTTTTAGTAGAGGCATAGTTTCATCATGTTGGCAAGGCTGGTCTCAGACTGCTGGCCTCAAGTGATACACACACCCTGGTCTCCCAAAGTGCCGGGATTATAGGTGTGAGCCACCGCTCCTGGCCATGATGATGTGTCTTCTATAAAAACCAATGAAGGTCAGGCACACTGGCTCATGCTTTAATCCCAGCACTTGGGGAGGCTGGGGCGGGTTGATCACCTGAGGTCAGAAGTTCAAGACAAGCCTAGCCAGCATGGTGAAACCCCGACTCTACTAAAACTACAAAAAGTAGCTGGGTATGGTGGCTCATGCCTGTAGTCCCAACGACTTGCAAGGCTGAGGCACGAGAATTGCTTAAACTGGGAGATAGATTCTGCAGTGAGCTGAGATCGCACCACTGCACTCCAGCCTGGGCGACAGAGTGACACCCTACTTCAAAAAAAAAAAAAAAGCAAAAAGCAAAAAAACAAAACAGGCCAGGCACGGCAGCTCATGCCTGTAATCCCAACACCATTTTGAGGCCAAGGCAAGCAGATAACTTGAGGCCAGGAGTTTGAGACCAGCCTGGCCAACATTTTATCTCTACTAAAAATACAAAGATCAGTCAAGTGTGGTGGTGCAAGCCTGTAATCCCAACTATTCAGGAGGCTGAAGCACGAGAATCACTTGAACCCAGGAGGCGGCGGTTGTGCACATTAACATGTGACTTCCGTGTGCAGCTTCTGTACTTCTGGTCAGCTGACTGCATCCAGATGTTGCCTCTAAACAATCTCTGCTGCCCACAGCTCTGACATCACGGGGCCCACACCCTGTCTCCATCTATCCCTGGGTGTGAGCCCCTCCCAGGACCATGCTCAGTGCAGCCTCTTTCCAAGTTAATGTCACTGGGTCACAGTGAGATAGAATCTAAGTGAGATGAGAGAAACTGAGGGAAGGCATGTGTGAATGCCAGCAAACACATCAGGCACGACGCTTCAGACTCAGAGAAGATTTGCAACTCCAATGCCTCGCATTTCCAAAAGGAAGGAGACAGAATGATCCACTGAGAATGTCATTTTACCTGTGTAAGAGCCATCCCTGACTCCTTTGCTTTCCTCTTCTTCCTCTTCTGGGCTTCCCTCTCAGTCAATATAATTAACTCTTTACAAGTCAAATCTGAAAGTAAAGAATCTGTTTAATGCTTGGAAACAACACATTCCTTTCTGTGCTACAACCACGAACACAGGGAAGACCTCAGCATGTGGAGAGACGGCCCACTGCATGGGAGGAATAAGGATAATAAATTCCTACACAAAGACCAAGTGGCTAGGAGTGGTGCCTCAGGCCTGTAATCCCAGCACTTTGGGAGGCCGACGTGGGTGGATCATGACGTCAGGAGTCCAAGGCCAGCCTGACCAACATAGTGAAATCCCATCTCTACTAAAATAATTAGCCGGGCATGGTGGTGGGCACCTGTAGTCCCAGCTACTTGGGAGGCTGAAGCAAGGAGAATCGCTTGCACCTGGGAGGCAGAGGTTGTAGTGAGTCGAGATTGCACCACTGCACTCCAGACAGTGCAAGACTCCATTTCAAAAAAAAGAAAAAGACCAAGTGAGCTTTTCACTCTTTTCTTCAGAACTTACAACCCTCCTGGAGAAGCCCACATACAGGCTGCAGCAGTGGGGGGCTGGGTTGGCCTGGACTTCAGTTCAGGGCACAGACCCGGCCCTGATCAAACCCCATGCAGAGCATAGCCCTCACCTCTCTGTGGATCACAGGCTGATGACAGCCCTCAGAAATGGAGGACCCTGCCTTGATTCTCAATGCTGGATAGAAATTAAAATCAGGCTGGGTGCAGTGGCTCACGCCTGTAATCCCAGCACTTTGGGAGGCTGAGTTGGGTGGATCATGAGGTCAAGAGATCGAGACCATCCTGGCCAACATGGTGAAACCCCATCTCTACTAAAAATACAAAAATTAGTTGGGCGTGGTGGCACATGCCTGTAGTCCCAGCTACTCAGGAAGTTGAGGCAGGAGAATCACTTGAACCGGGGAGGCAGAGGCTGCAGTGAGTTGAAATTGCACCACTGCACTCCAGCCTGGCAAGAGTGAGAATCCATCTCAAAAAAAACAAAAATTACAATCAAGTTGAGTACCTTAAACATTATGGGGGCTGGGCCCCACCCTATTGAAAGGCGAATCTCTGGTAAGGGGACATAAACCATGTTTGCAAAATGCCTTGGCACTCTAATGTGGACCCAGGGTTGCATAACTCTCAAAGGGGGCAAGGCTAGCACAGCCCCAACCTCCCAGCTCTGCTCTTGGGACCTTGTCACCACTCTGCATACAATGGAAGGCAAAAGACAAGAATGAAACACAGAGACCTGTTTAATATGGACCAGAGGTAGGGGTGAGGGTATGGCTGGAGTGTTCAGTGGAGAGAGGAGGGAGGGTCACAGAAGTCCCCACTAAGAAGGCAATACCAGAACAAAGACCTGGGGGAGGAAGGGTGTTTGCACCTCAGCTGAGGGGCCAGAGAATTCTAGGCAGAGGGACAGCTCAACTAAAGACCCTGAGGCAGGAGCAACCTCGGCCCCAGAAACAGGAAAGAGGCCCGCATGGCTGGAGTGGAGGCCCAGGCAGGAGATCAAGTCAGAGAGGTCTTGAGGGAGCAGACCAGGCACGGATGAGGTCTTCAAACATTTTTCTCCCACAGTTCACAGTAATTTTGGAAACATGTATTACCTCATCTGCTTTAAGTAAACATAACTTTTCTTTTTTTTATGATAATCTAGACAAAACTAACTTTTCTTTGTCACGTGAATCAAAATGCTCCCATATAATGGCATGTCTTCTCTGTTTCAAATGTATGCTGACATGTAAACCTATGCCCAGGAAGTATAGGGTCACCTTCATGTGAGATGTGGGGAGCACAGGGGAATGTACTTGGGGAGTTCGGGAAGTCACTTTTGGAAACACAAGGGTGGAGATACCTGTTAGACGGCTGAGCAGAGAGCTGAGACAGTAAGACAAAGGATTCTAGAGTTCAGGGACAGGTCTGCAGGGGACATGCAGGTGGGTGATATGGACCAGGTCTGTGTCCTTGGCCCAAATCTCACATTGAATTGTAATCCCCAGTGTTACTGGTGGGGCCTGGTGGGAGGTGGCTGGATCATGGGGGTGGATTTGTGAGGAATGGTTTCACACCAGCCCCTTGGTGATGTTCTTATCAAAGTGAGTTGTCAGGAGATCCGGTTGTTTAACAGTGTATAGTGGCCAAGGTGGGTGGATCACGAGGTCAGGATATCCAGACCATCCTGGCTAACACGATGAAACTCCGTCTCTACTAAAAATACAAAAGAATTAGCTGAGCATGGTGCCATGCACCTGTAGTCCTAGTTACTTGGGAGGCTGAGGCAGGAGAATCACTT